TACGAGATAGTTCTGGGGCAGAGCAGTTCCACCGCAGATCTGATATCTCAGCAGTGCCACAAGCTTTCTCAGATCCGCAGGATTTTCGCGAGGAAGACGAATCTGGATAGGTTGAACAGAACCAACAGGGGAAAGAAAACTGGAAACCGATAGAGAAAAAAAATACCGGGAGTAATATTTTGTCCCTCTCAAAATAATCATTTATATTAAATCAGTTTAAAGTCTTTAAAGTTTAAACTTTAAATTCCCAAAATAATTAATGTGTTTAACTTGGCATAATCTTGTCTTGCAATCTTTCCATTTACTAAGATCATTCTTATTTTAACTTTAGGCCAAGATAAAGAATGCATATTTATAGTTGATTATCTGTACGAAACTTGAGTCCACCCATAGTAACAACCATTTAGGGGCACTGTAGCATGGTTCAATTAAAAAAGAAAGATGAAGCAATTTAAGAGACTCTCTGAGTAAAGTTTAAATTAAAACTTCATCATTTCATTGATTTTTTCTCACATTAATTATTTATCCGTTCAAAATGTTGGCCTTCATCGTTATCCGTTAGCATTTTTCAAATTAATTTACATGACTAAAATTTTATCTAAAAATGAACCCAATGTCGTGGGAACCCCACCCTTAGTTTTAACATTATAAAAATTAATCTATATCGTTAAAAACTTAAGGAGTATTAAAAATTTCAATTATTTTAGGGGTACAACAAGAAATTTACCTCAAAGAGATGCACCTACATTTTTACGATTATACTGGTATAAAATATGCTAATGTAATAAAAAATTGTACAAATATTTTATGTTATTATAAAGGAAAATGCTAGGGTGCCACCACATGGGTGCTACCATGGGTGCACCCATGTTTCACACAGACAAACACAGACGATAATTGTCTGTGTCGCACAGACAATTATCGTCTGTGCGAAGCATGAGTGCACTCATGGTAGCACCCTAGCATGGTCCTATTATAAAATGTTATACTAGAATTACTGTGTAGTATAAAATATTGATACATGTATTTGGAGTATAAAGTGAGATTTAATTTTTAAGGTATAAATAGCTTAATTCTAAAAAGGGTAAAGAGGAACAAGTTTTTACACTCATTTTTTTTTATCAACAACAATACAGGTGTCCGTGTGTCTAAACTTCGAAGATCCAACGCACTCCCATTTGGATATTGCTGCAATGGAAGGCTAATCCTCGAGTCCTTGAAATTAGCGAAGTGAAGAAGATAGCGAGAGATGGCTACTAATCGAAATTCAAATCCCAGGGCTCTGCAAGTTTTCTGCATCGGAACGGCTGATACGAAGCTCGAGGAGCTCAGATTTCTCTCCGATGCCGTCCGATCCAGTCTCGGCAGTTTCTCCATTAACTCTTCCTCCAAGGTCATTTTTCTCATTTCTCTTTTCGCAATTTAGCTAATATAGTTCGTTTATGAGATGCTAGAGGCTGCTGCGCATGAACTAGGTTTCACAGTTCGCCACTGTGTGTGTTTTTTTCTATTGTTATAATGGAATATTTCGTGCCTTTGGTTGATGAACACAAGCTTATCATGTTTCTGCATGAGAACATACAGGTGGATGTCACAGTGGTGGACGTCTCTACTGGCAGCCATGAAATTAGTGGGTGTGGGGATTTCGAGTTTGTTTCTAGAAAACATGTACTTTCATTCTATTCTGGAACGGAGCAATCTGCAGAGCTTCCGGAGGACAGAGGCAAAGCTATTGCAATCATGACTAAAGGGCTTGAGAATTTCCTCATTGGAGCTCAGAATGACAAAGTTTTTGCTGGAGTTGTTGGTCTAGGGGGCAGTGGAGGGACGTCTATGTTGTCTTCTGCCTTCCGCTCTCTTCCAATTGGGATCCCTAAAGTGATTGTGTCAACCGTGGCCAGCGGTCAAACTGAACACTATATTGGAACATCCGACTTGGTATTATTTCCGTCTGTAGTGGATATTTGTGGGATCAACAGTGTTAGCAGGGTTGTTCTATCCAATGCTGGTGCCGCATTTGCTGGTATGGTGGTTGCAAGAATTCACAGCCTTAAAGAATCCCGCGCTGTTGATGAGAAGTTTACTGTTGGAATTACAATGTTTGGTGTTACTACTCCGTGTGTTAATGCTGTTAAAGAAAGGTTGACTAAAGAAGGATATGATACCTTGGTTTTTCATGCCACTGGGGTCGGGGGAAGGGCCATGGAGGATCTGGTCAAAGGAGGATTCATACAAGTAATTCTCACCCTACTGTCCCACGTTGCAAATCTCTCTGTACCCTATCTGTCTCTATTATTTTTTTCTTCAATCTTAAACTCCTATTTGACTTGATTATTGTGAAAGTGAGATTTTATTTATGTATCCTTTTGGTTGTAAAGTTGAGAAGTTAATAGGCTATTTTATTTACACAACAACAAACCTAGGCTTTTTGCATGGATTTAGTGTTAATTTAATTATTGAGCACACGAATGGTCCATCCATGAGCCTGTATCATACGAAGGGCATCCAGTGCAAAACATTCCCACTCGGCTTTTGAATGAATATATTGTTGATTAATTATGTACAATTAGTTGACTCAATAAATTTGATGCCTCCGAGCCCAACTTGTTTGGATTAAGGTGACGGTGATGATGATGTCACGAACTTATTTGACATATGCCAATAATAAAAAACGTAGCTCACATGTTACTTTTTTTTGGTCTGAGATGAAAAGAAATGCCATTTTTACAATCATCATTTCAGATATTAATTCCTTTAACTTTTAAAAAAAGAATATGGCAAGTATTTAAACGAATCAACACATCCAACCATTTCAGTCCAATTCTCATCAAATGTAGATTATTCATCCATTTCTGGCAAAATTTACCATGACCTGATGGGCTTGTACCCTTTATTACTAGAATGTGAGACATCCTTTTTGCAATAAAATTAACAGCATGTTTTTGTGTTTGCATTTACTTCCTCTTTAATCTCCATCATAGGGTGTATTAGACATCACTACAACTGAGGTTGCAGATTACCTTGTTGGAGGTGTTATGGCTTGTGATGGTTCTCGCTTTGATGCAATATTAGAGAATAAGATTCCTTTAGTTCTAAGTGTGGGAGCCTTGGATATGGTAAATTTTGGTCCAAAAAGTTCCATACCTTCTGGTTTTCAGCTAAGGAAGATTCACGAGCACACCGAACAGGTAATCTAAACAATTAAACACCTTCCCTTCTTTTTTCTTTATAAATTTTTGATCAATTCATTTTGCATATTTTTGGAACTTGGCATAGTCTGAGATGGATAGGATGTGTGTAGTGGGTGGCCTTAGTGATTAAGATAGCCTTTAACCCAAACCAGAAGTAATTGCATAGTCTGAAGGGACATTTCATATCAATTTGAGTATTTGACTAACTATGGTATATGACAGCATAGTTAAAATATGTATGATGTTTCTAATGAACTAATGAGTAGTGAATTAATAAAAAGAGAGGATATATATAGTTTCATAATTGTTCCTCTCGAGGTCACTTAATGCTTTATTTTCCCAGGTTTCTCTTATGCGTACTACTATGGATGAAAATAAGAAAGTTGCCGCCTTTATAGCAGACAAATTGAATAAATCGTCATCAAAGGTGTGCGTTTGCTTGCCAGAGAAAGGTATTTCTGCATTGGATGCCCCAGGGAAACCGTTTTATGATCCTCAAGCAACTGGATGCCTTTTTAATGAGCTACAAAGACTTGTTCAGATAAATGAAGATCGTCAGGTATCCATTCAACTTTAACCGGGTCATTTAGAAAAATATTGGCTGTTTCCAAAATTTTATTTTTTCTTAGTAACTTATTTCAAGGACTATGCCTAAATGGTCTCTTAACATTGCAATTAAATATTCTTGTATTGGTAGGTTAAAACGTTTCCTTATCATATTAATGACATGGAGTTTGCAAATGCATTGGTTGATTCATTCTTAGACATCTCTGTGAAACCAAAAGTTGTAGATACTTCCCAAGCAACCTTTGAGTCCAGCAAAGAAGCTAATCTTGTTGGTCATACAAAGTTCTCAAGCAAAGAAAGTCTTTACTCATGTCCAAGTGACTTCCCCAATGCAAAACAAGGTGAATTGATTCTTCTTCTTCTTCTTCTTCTTTTGCACTTATACACATTCTTTGTTTGAAAATCAAGGTGCCTTTATAAGTTTAGGATTTAGGTAAGGAAGAAAGGGCATAACTTGGGCCATGTGCCTTTGTATGTTTCAGTTTCTCTCTGGTTATTTAGGATATTCTGTTGGCATGTTGCTCTTTTATAGTTCTCAATGGTCCGTTTTTTAATTCTCCTTGGTTGTAAACAGTTAGGCTGGTCAGATTAGGGTCGAGTAAAATGACGGAGGTAGAGGGAAGAGGATTGTAGTTGACATTAGATGGGAACGATGCCCGTGGTTGGAATGGCACACACACACTCGTATGTCTTAGCGATGCAGGAGCTACACGAGTTCAAGTTTTAAATGTAAGAGTACAAGTGAGTAATGTGTCTACTGGTCAAGGGGTACCGTTAGGCAAGCCGAGTGCTAGCCAAATGTTTCAAGGAATGCCCAAATGAATAATTGGAACCTCTTGATGCTATCAATACTTTATCTCTCGGGACGACAGGACGTACAATCCAGACACTTTCAATGCTATTGATACTTTTCCTCTAGAATTTCAGAAGTTGAGGCTATATCCTGCCTTTGGTTGCATGAGGTAGCATTTATAGGCACCAGGTGGCCATCAAGGTCATATGGTGTTAGTTGGAAGGCACATGACACACTATGAATGGTCAGATTGGTGCTCTCTTCTCTGCGAGCTGCATGCCTTCAACATCTAGCTCTAATAGATTGATGGTTCCTGCCATTCATTACCTGACTTGCTACTTTTGATGAGTGCCGTGTCATCATTAGGGTGGCAATCTTAAGTCTGCTTCTTTACACCATTGAATGATTTGGGAGTCTGATTTTTGTGGCACAAAATCCAGCAGGAAATTTGAATTTCGAACCTTGAAACCTCTTGAGTAAAAGAGGTGGTGTGATGGCCGCACAAATGATGTAGTCAAACCCCCTTGTGAATTTCTAACCCCCCCTAATATCTCCTTCCCAAATAAATAGGGGCCCATGTGAATTCATTTTCTACTTTTACGATGTGTTGATAGTGCTCAGTTTAATCTTTCAGGATTCCAGATCCAACGCACCATCACTATAAATTTTAGGTTAATGTCCAAATGTTTGTTAGAATAGGTAATATTCTAAAAGTGCTAGGTGAACGACAAACTGGGGCCTAGAAATTTAGTGCGTAGGTGGAATCTGAGTGGGTCGGGTGGGGGGGGGGTACAACAGCTATATGTGCTTGGACAAGGGATGTGTGATTCACGGTCGCATCTGATATCAAAGATCCGTCACCGTGGTGCTGCTGAATAACCAAGTGCCATGACTCCCCATGAGCAATTGCTGAAGGTCAACTAATTTTAACTCTTTCCTTAGTTGCGATTGACCAACTTTTTCTTTCCATTAACCATTTTCCCTGTCTGGGTAGTGGATCCAATGCTAGAGGAGTTTGGGAGAAGTATCAATGGGACACTACAGGTTCCCATTTGGCCAGGCCGTGGAAAAAATATCCCCTTCAAGAAAGAGAAATTATCTGCAAGGACTGGTCACAAGCACGCAGCTCGCTCAAAATCTACAGCCAAGAGACTGGCAAGTGAGATGATCATCGGGCCCGAGCCGAATAAAAAGCTATGCAGGGAAGAGACTTCTGTTGTTGCTTCCCCAACCGGTGAAATGGCTGCTTTTTCGACTGATCAAGTGGCGGAGGCACTCAAGATTCATCTCTGCAAGGTAAGATATCCAAAATTGCCCTTCCCGTCCACTTTAACCCTTTGAATTAATACGAATAAAATATTCCACTTTGTTTCCACAACTATTAGGTCAATTTCATTGGTTAGTGTCCGAGATCCATTTTTCCGCTTCTGCTGCACCATGAATTTTTGTCCACTTTTGGCCATTTCGGTTATTTATCCTTCCAACTTCTGATTGTTTTTTCACAAGTGACTAGAAAGACCGAAAGTGGCAAAAAATCTATAGTCGTGCACCATAATTAGGAAAATGGAAGTCAAAGACCAAAACAATTACCTAATAGTTGCGGGGCCAAAGTTTGAATACGTTTGAGTCCTAAATTCATTTTTCTGCAGGCTTCCATTTTTGGGGCCGAGCTCCACATCCGGTCCACCATGATTCCCCATGAGAAAAAGGCCGCTCTAGACATTGGGAAGACACCTACTCAGCTTGCTGAGGAGGCTGAACAGAAACTCAAAGCCGAGCAGTCAGCACGGTTGGCTGCCGAAGAGCAACTAAAAGTCGAAAGGGAGGCTCGGCTTGCAATTGAGGCCAGACTGGCAACCGAACGGGAAACTGCCGTTGCAGAGTACAAGGCTGGGGGTTTCCAAGATGACGCACTGGAGTTCGCTCGGACCAACCATGATCGGGTTATTGAAGCTGTGCTAACGAGTCCAAAAGAAGCGATCCACTTCTTCAATAGGCTTCAAGAGAATGAGATTGGACGGTTGATGTTATTGAAGATGGGGGCTTATGGGTTCTTGAAGGGGCGGAAATCAGAGAGGTCTGAGCTATATGAAGTTCTGAAAGAATCTGTCAAAAATTTCAACCCGACTAACTACGACCTGCCCGAGGCCTTCACAGTTGAGCCAGTCTATCCATTCCTCAACCTGCCCAATTAGCAATAGAGTATAATAGTAGCTTGTGCTAGGGAAAAATGTTTCCCCTGTTTTGTGCTTTCACTTTTTGCTATGGACGTGGCCAACATGTTTTTCCTTCTTTTATTGAGATATGTATTTTTTGTTTGATTGCAATATGGATTTAGCAACATGGGAAATATTGGAGTTTTGTTTGTTTGGTTATAGACCCTATGATAAATGATTTTCTCTTATAACAGAGACATTGCAGAGAACACAGCAGATACTGCAGCAACTAAGATATCAAATTAGTAAGGGGGACCCTGTTATTGGGGCTGGTGCTGGAACAGGTATCTCAGCAAAATTTGAGGAGGCTGGTGGTGTGGATATGATTATCGTGTACAACTCTGGGCGGTTTCGGATGGCAGGAAGAGGATCCTTGGCTGGTTTATTGCCCTTTGCTGATGCAAATGCCATTGTTCTTGAGATGGCCAATGAAGTGTTGCCTGTAAGATGGAGTTTTTGGTTGTCTTTTTGTAATATAACACAGTTTAAACAATATCTCTCTCCCCCCCCCCCCTCCCCAAAAGAGAAGGAAGAAAAGAATATACTTTCAAAAAATTGGTCCCAAGAAAGAGTCAGATTTCAACAAATGAAGATAAAAAAGAATCACACTCAATTCAAATACTCTGTATGATATACTCCTGCCGTCCCACTGGGTATTTCAATCCTGCCATATTTGGGTGTCCCTATGCATATTTTCACTTTCCATTTCAGGAGAAAGTGTGATTCACATCTTTTTTCTTCTAAACAAAGTTCAACTACAATTTCATCATTTCTTAATCTCCATGGCAGGATAAGTTGAAAAACCCTACCAAAACGGATGTAGTACTTACAGATTAGGTCAACCTACCTATAAATAAAAGTATTATTTTTTAATAGTACTCGTACTATTTTTAGAATATGATGTTAGTCGGAGTCTTCCCTCCAGGGTTTGACCTTTGAATCCATCATCTTGCAAAAAACAAGGAAAATGTGGCTTAGACCATTGCTGGGAGTTTTGGCACTGGGTACTGGATACACCATACACCCTTTATTGTGTTAGTTGAATGAGTATAGTAGTATCTTCATGGTGTTAGTTGATTTTCTATGATTTCTTGGAATGTTGTTTGTTGGTGTTGTTTTAAATCTGAGTTTTAATTTTTAAAACATTTAGGTGGTAAAAAAGGTACCAGTTCTAGCTGGAGTTTGTGCCACTGATCCATTCCGTAGGATGGACCACTTCCTGAAGCAGTTGGAATCTGTCGGATTCTTTGGGGTGCAGAACTTTCCAACGGTTGGACTCTTTGACGGCAATTTTAGGCAAAATCTAGAAGAGACTGGAATGGGTTACAGGTATGTGTTATTAACACATCTCTTTAATGCACATAAGATCTATACACTCTTAGGTAGGTTCTGTTAGTTTCCAGGTTAATATTTTCACGAGAAGTGTTTTCTGATTTTCTCGTGTTTGGCACAATAACACATTTTCGTGGAAAGATTTTCCAGTTTTTTTTGGCACAACGGAAATACGGAGCATTATTTTAAAGGAAAGCACAAAATTGTTTTAACAAAAATGATTTTCCATTCGAAAACAGGAAGTCATCTAACTTATATGCTCAAAGAATCAAGGAAAATCTTATATCAAGCATCAAATAGCTTATTTTCCAGTAAAACAATTTCATTGGAACATTTCCACAAAAGTTATGTTACTAGAAACAAAAGGAGCCCTAGAAGAGCTAGCTAACAAGTATAATATGTTGAGACTGATCCTTTTGACTAGAAACTAAGACAGTTATGATCTTTTTGGATTATATAGTTTGGAAGTTGAGATGATTGAAAAAGCTCATAAAATGGGTCTTCTGACAACACCATACGCTTTCAATCCAAATGAGGCCGTGCAAATGACAAAAGCTGGGGCTGACATTATAGTTGCTCATATGGGGCTAACAACATCGGGATCCATTGGAGCAAAAACAGCACTATCGTTGGAGGAAAGCGTGTCTTCTGTACAAGCTATTGCAGATGCTGCTCATGGGATCAATCCGAATGCGATCATTCTTTGCCATGGAGGTATGAATGTGCATATCCTTTGACCCGTTCTAATATTTAACCTTTCATTTTCCATTGATATTGAATCGGTCATGAATAGGCCCTATATTTGGCCCTGAGGAAGCCGAATATGTTCTGAAGAGAGCCAAGGGCGTTCATGGGTTTTACGGTGCTTCCAGTTTGGAGAGGCTACCCGTTGAGAAGGCGATAACAAGAACTGTGCGACAGTATAAGTCCATTTCTCTGATATAGAACATGAAAGTATCAATAAATAAATCATGCATTCCCTTAATACCCTTTGCTTCTAATACTTGTATCCCACGTGCCCGCGTGCATGAAATATTTGTAGCCTAATAAACCAAACCAAACCAAACTAAACACAGCTTGTACTGTTCCACTTGCGAGTAGAGTCTGCAATGAGTTAACTCATGAAGCCCTTTGTTCTGGATTATCAAAGGATGGAGTCTTATGAGTTGTAGGGATTTGGCCACATGGTTTCCCAATTTCTAAAAGGAAAATTTACTTAAACAACACTAAAACATATTACCTCCGTCCCATTTTAAATTGCATGTTTGTCTTTTTTCTCCGTCCCAAAATAAGTTGCCTGTTAGTTGTTTTCGTAAACTTTTCAAAATAAAATACCTAAACTACCTCTAAAATAAGTCAATCTTCTCCACATTATATTCTCATTCATCATCCCTCCTAAAAAGTATTGACAATTTCGAAAAATCAACTCTATTTTTAATTTTTCTTAAATATGTCCAAAAGTCAAAACGGGCGATTTAAAACGGGACGGAGGGAGTAATAATTTTCCTTAAATAGCATCATATGTGTTTTTTCCCAATTTAACACTTTTAGTCATTATCCATTAGTCATTATTCAAGTAAATGTTCGTCATCACAAGACAATAGACATTATGTAGTGTTATTTAGGGAATAAAATAGTTTAAGTGTTATTTATGAAAATGACTTAAGGGTATACATAGAATTCAATAGAGTAAATTCTATAATTTGCCTTTTATAAAAGAGGGTTTTCCATATTTAACCATTTAATTGGGAGTATTATTTAAGATAACATTGCTAGTTCTTTTATGGTGTCTTTCCACAAATGGTCCTTTTTTTATGTTCTACAATGCTGGTGTTAACTTAAAGGCTAAAAGTGTAATTTGATATCAATCTTTATGTTCGATGATGTATTCTGATATTCGTTAGATGGATAACATAAAAATAATGACTATGATTCTGGGCTAAAATTCTGACAAAAGACTACATCTGTAGACTATGATTGTCGTAGAAAGATTGTACGGAGTAATTCACAAACGACACATCAGGAGTGGTCTTTTGAATTGTGTATGACAAAAAACATAAATTATCATTGTAAAATTACACTTTTAGCTGTCGGGTTAATACCAACATGATAAAAGATCAAAAACATATTATTTGTGGAAAGATACCTATAAAAGAAAGACCGTCGGGGTAATATTTGATAATAGAGAACTAAATAAAGATTATTTATATGAATATTTTCAAAGTTTTGCATACGTTAAGTCCACAAATTTAAATAAGCATTGAAAATAGGGTTAAGGAACAAAATAGGAGTAAAAGATTGATTAAATCCAAAAACAGGAGTAGAAAGATAAAATCCCAAAATAGGAGTTAATGTGTGCACAACTCATCTGTGTAATTCAATCAATGTACCCACGCTCCACTCATCTTGCTCATCTACCGTATTAGCTCAAATATTAGAAAACAAAAGAGTACATGCAAATATTAACTCAACCCAAAAAAGAAACTTGCTCAAATCAAAAAAGAAACTTTGTCATAGTTCTGAAACTAAAACACAATTCAGCAACTTGCTCCATTGCAAACAACCTGATGTCGTTGCGCCCTAGTCGCTATGTCCCTGCCATTATCACTTAAGTCTCTTCAAAAATTAGCCTACATAATTCCCTTACATAATTCTCTTCAAATTGCTTTGAAAAATAACACAAAGTTATTATGCTCTCATAAGTCATAACAAAAAGCATCAGTTTCATTAGCCAATTACAAAACTAAATATCATTGATAGGAATAGAATCCCTATAAAAATCCCAAAAAATCAACCCCATCCACTAAAACAGACTAAATTAAACACCCTTTCAAATGACCGGCCATATACGGAGTATTAAAATACAAAAGATACTGCAATGAGTTGAAGAGAGTGACTGTGAATGGATAAGAAAGAGCTTATTTGAGAATCAGGCGTGGTGGGTTACTTTAGACTCTAATTATGTAGGTCTTATTTAGAGAATTTTAATTTGAGCTCCTATTTTGAGGAGTTATGTTTTAATTTTATCTAGATAGTTTTCTTATTTAAATACTCCTATTTAGTGGAGTTTAAGTTTGAGCTCTTATTATAATGATAAGACATATGTTTTACTCCTATTTAAGAGGTTTTCTTTTGAAAATAATTGGTGAGCTGAAGCAAAGAATTGGCAAATATTTCCTATAAAGTAAAAGATTAATCTCATTGAAGTATAGATAGAGTAAACCTAGATTAATTTTGCAAAAATTATTTTTATGTTTAAGAAAAAATCAATTTTTTCTAAGTTGGTTTAAGAAAAAAAGGTAAAATATACTTTTTTTTTCGTCCCAAATTAAATTACTTTTTTACTATTTACATGATCAAACTTCATTTATTTATTTTTATTTTTTTGATAGTCATTTAATAAAATAAATTAATAATGGAGTATTAATTTTTATTTTTAAGTTCTGCCTTAAAGGCTGAAGATTCTCACTTGCAGAAGACGAAAACTCTCTCTCTCTCTCTCTCTCTCTGGATCAGATCGCCATGACGAAGCAGCAAGCAAACTGGTCCCCTTACGACAACAATGGAGGGTAATATCTTCTTTTACATCTCCGCCGTTCGTTTTCCCCATTAGGTTTAATCCGCTTCCCGTTTTGCAATTCGCTAGTCTCATCAATTTGTACTATTTGTGCAGAACATGCGTCGCCGTCGCCGGCGCGGATTACTGCGTGATTGCGGCGGATACTCGGATGTCTACCGGCTATAACATCCTCACACGGGATTACTCCAAAATCATTAAACTGTAAACAATCCATCTCCTTTTTTTACACTTTACCATAGGTTGTGTCTGATTCCATTTCATTGTACCTTGTTTGGCTTTGTTGGAGGGGAAGGTGAGGGTGTTTGAATTAAAATAAGGTATTAGGTCACCTACAAAAACCCCCAAATCAGAGAGGAGCAAAATGAGGAAAGGAGGTCTGGGCTCTGGAGGTGGGAAGGACTTCAAACATTCTAAATTTTTGAACTGTAGTACCAATAAGTACACCATACAAGGGAAAGCTCTTAGTGGTTGCTCTACTTTCAAGCATTGTTCTAAAATCAGCCTAGGTGGAACCTAATTGATTCAAATTTAATCCAAAATGGTTTGGGCGCCCAGGCAGTCCACTTTTAAAATTTACATTTTTCTTAAAATTTTTATTTTAGCTATAATCACACTATCAATTGAAGATTTGAAGCACAATTTTTTATGCTCCGTATTCGATGATAACAAATTAGCAATAGACAGATGCAGCGTAGAATGCTACACATTTGATGTTATCTTTCTACTTTTTCAAGCTTTATCAAGTTTTTCTTTGATTCATAAAGTTACAGTTTTTGATCACATAGTGATTGGACTTCATTATTATAAACTAGTTTCTTAACATCAAGTATACATTCAAATGATGTTAGATACTAATATATAAATTAGCTCATATACACAGTACTTTAATTTTAAATATCACAACAATGTTTTTTTGCCTACTTCTAGGCAGTGGTTAGGAGGCCATCCACCACTTGTTTGGTGCCTATCACCTTTAAAAACAATGCTTCTCAGCAGATCCATCCGTTTATATGCCAATGCTATTGATAGAACATACTAAGAAGACTGGTAGTTTCGTACATGCAATCAATTTGAAAAACTCTATAGCAATTTTGAAGCATATCAAAAGAGCCCGGGTGGGAAAAATCTTGAGGTCAAATAGCATGCAAGGTAGATTGGAGTTACATTCTCGAACTGTGGGGTTCTGTGTTGGTAGTCTATGATGGTTCTCCATGTAAAAAATTATAGTTATATCTAGTGTCTTATACTGCCTTGAATTTTTCCATGGCATTTAAGATACTATTGGTGTTATAGTGCCTTAAGATGACACCCCAAAGATAGGCCATAGATTTCAAAGACTACCCCTCTGCCTGCAAGCTATGTGATGCCAAAGCGAGAGCATTAGATTCAGTTATGTCTTGTTGGTGATGTGTAGCCATCGGCCCAAAGTGGCCCACTTGTAGACAACTGAGAGTTAGGAGACCAGATTAGGGTTTCGGCCGGCCCAAATGGTTTTAAGCCCAGTTTGCTATAACTTGTCCAGCAAGGGTTAAACCCTAATTAGTTGTCTATATATATGATCTCCTGTACTTGTAATCATTATCACTCAATAATACAAACCCTAGTTGCCCCTGTGGATGTAGGTCAGATTAGACCGAACCACGTTAAATCTCGTGTTCTTTATCGCTTTCTTGCTTTATATTCGTGTGTGTGCTTTTGTTCTTAACAACTGGTATCGGAGCCTAGGTCATACACACAGATCTGCCTCCACTGCCAACCCTAGCGACTCTAGGGTTTCTGCCGACACATCAGAAGACCACCGAGATAGTCATCTGTGGGGAGTCCGAACAACCTTGCTGTTCAGTTTGCTGCTGCAATTTTCGAGGTCAGTTCTGGTTGTTTGTCTCAATCTGTTCTCACGTGTTCTCTGGTCAGATCTGGGATACTCAGAAGAGATGATG